GGAAACATAGAAGTTTGACAGGACATTAATCTTATGTACCCTGTATAGCTTTCAAACTTCATTGTGTCCTCACAACTACAACTGTATTGATCCTGACATTTGCCATTATATTCTCTTGTTGATAAAGGTACAAAAAGTCTGATTGCTCTCAATAAGATTGCCATAGCTTAAGTTTTGTGACTTCTCCAACTGGCCTGGTGTCATTCATCATGGCCATATCAGATGACCTTGCCCCAGCAAGTAAGCACAGACACAGTGTTTTATACAAATTACAGACCCCCACTTAAAACTGTATTGGCAAGAAGTATATTCATCCATATGGCCATGATCTAGGACTTTGTGACTCCTGCAAAAAATCTGAAGTGGTTGAACCAGGACTAGATTGATTGTCTTACACCATTTGGTATGATCTCACCCAAAAAGTATATTAACCAGACTGGCCTATGGTTGCCATCGGGAAAAAATGGAGGTCATGCCAATTAAGGATGAATCCTAAATTTTCTAAGTAAATATCTGTTACCATATACCCTTGGTTATGTAGAAAGTAACTAAAAGAAAAAGATTTCTTTCTTGGGTAAAGATGAGGAAAATGTGAGACAGGGTTTCATTGCTTTCGTTGGTTAATCAATAAAGAAACCACTTGGCCTGATAGGGCAGAACTTAGGTAGGCAGAGAAGATAGAACTGAATTCTGGGAGGAAGAAAGCAGAATCAGAGAGCTGCCCTGGAGCTGCCAGGTTAGACATGCTGAATCTTTTCTGGTAAGCCACAACCTCATGGTGATATACAGATAAACAGAAATGGGTTAAATTAAGATGTGAGAATTAGTCAATAAGAAGTTAGAGATAATGGGCCAGGCAGTGTTTAAATGAATGCAGTTTCTATGTGATTATTTGGGGTGTAAGCTAACTGGGCAGCCGGGACAAACAAAGGACCCGCTCTCCTCATGCAACAGGGCGTTGTTTTATTTTTGGTGTTATATGGCTCTGGTTGTCCTGGAACTTACTATGTAAATCAGGTTGGCCTAGAACACACAGAATTCCAATTGTCTAAATTCAACTTTTGGAGTTGATGTTTGAGGAAGCCTTTTCAGTGTTCAGCAATCCCAGATGTCTGTAGACAATAGGGAACATGGAGATTGCATCCAATATTTTTGACTCCTGGCTCATTGTTCAGTGGTTTTAGCATTGAAAGGTATACTGTTGGCTGACTTCAAATTGTCTGAAAGGCTAAAACCATGACAAGATTACTTTCAAGATTTACAGGAGTGTGGTACAGCTTAGTTGACCTGATGAGAATGACAACTATAGTCATCTGAGAAAGATTCACAGTCACAGGACACCATCATAGCTCCAAGAGAAAATCAAAACTCCACAATAAATCAAATCTGCCAGAAGTGAGCAGGGAAATGTCCCAGGCAGAATATTCTCCTTCATTACAAGATAACTGTGTCAATTTTTGGCAAGAGCCACACAGAAATTAGTCTTGTTGATGAATTTATCGCAGTAGTGGAGCACTTGCTTAACACTGAAAGCAGCAACAAAGGAGTGGAGTCCTCTTCTGCGTCCAGTCTTTAGTGGAGGATATATTGCTTTGTCCAACTCATGGAAACAGAGGTTGCAATGGGCTCCATAAGCAGCTTCAGTATGAGCCCTTGTAGATGGTCAGAGGTAGCCACCTACAAGCCAGGAAGAAGGGCCTCAAGAATTTATCTTCCTAAGAGTGAAAGTAAATCTGAGATGGTTTAGTTTTAATTTTGTTGCTCTTAGCATACCATTGGTTTACACAGAGTTTGTCAAAGTCACTTTAAAATTGGAAAATAAATTATATAACTGAAAACCAAATGCATACTAAAACTGTACAAAATATAGAGTTAGAGGAATACTATCTACACTATAGCCCTATAACTGATATTTTAATCAAGTGACAGACTATTAAAATATTTTCTTAAGTAAAATTCGTAAGACTTTGAGTTGAATTAAACAAACTAAAAGTGGTTCAATACAAACATTTAACTATGAAGTAGGAAAGGAACTTTTACTATTCAGATGTGGAATGCAGCAAGTAATGCTCATTTTTCTTTCAATGTAGTTGTAATTTTTAGCCAAATAAATTGCATAATACTTTATATTTCGTGTTTTATGGTCTAAAACTGGAAGGGGAAACTGCATGTAGGTTCTATAAAATAATAAGCTTTCCTTTGCCACCTCCAAGTCCTGTAACCAGGAATATTAAAGATTTTCAGAGGCACCAAGTCTTTGAACATAGCAGGTTTTATGACAGAAACCCATCCCAAAGGAGTATTATTTTGATAATACAATTTAAATTTCCCTATTCATTCTTATGCATATATATTTGTGGTCATTACATAAAATATTGAATAATTTGAAAACTTACTTTTTATTTTGTATTCAGTATGGAGATTTATTCCCAGAGTGGGGCTTTTCTGATGCAAAATTGGAATGCTTGTGTAGTCACAACAGCTGTCCCCACACCATGTGGTATCTTCCATTACTTTACTGCAGCCATGAATTTTTGGCCCAGTGTTTCAGTAATATTGGACACACATGGTTTTAAGTGGCAAAGCAGTATGCTTGTGCATTCATTTGACTTTCACAGCTACAGTTGGCTCTGTATTAGAACAGGGAGAATACATTCCCACCACGGCCACCCTCATGACTGCTGGAGTAGCTGGATCACAGTGGACTCTGTTCCTTCTAAAGACACCACTAACTACTGCTGAGGAATTACTCATTCACCAAAGTGCCTTGCAGCTGTAGAAGAGGGAATAATGAGTAGCTCAAAGGCCACACTCAGATTTCAGCCCACGAGTTATTATTATTACCCATCTTTTAAAAATAATCGTAAAAATCATGGCCATGAAATAACTAAAACTAAAAAGAAGTTTGCTGAGGCAGTCAGTGATTTTTTTTTTCAGATTTTCAGTACAGGTATTTGATTTAAATAAACTGTTGCCTTCCCAGGGAAACAATAGTGCTAAACTCATTAACAAGAAATGAAAATCTGATTGGTTTTTAATGTCAACCATTGATATAGGTAAGTTTTCAGAAAACCAATCCATTAAAAATATAAGTTTTTTGCAGATTTCTGTTAAAACTAATGTAGACATCAGGTGATTTGCTGTGCTCTGAAGTACACTTCACTAGTTTGATTTTGGTCTGAGTCCTGTTTCAGTGAGGATCTTAATGTTCTTCATGACTTGATTCTGCACTTCCAGCTTATATTTAAATTCTCCTCAAGCTTTTGCATTTTGTATACTTATTAGAGCTTTGGATTTTAATAATGAGAATAGTATTATTTTTGAAAATCTAATTTGTTCCTCTAAATGATATCTAAATAACTCATTTTTCCTTAAATAAGGCAAAAAGAAAGGAAAAGAAGAAAAACCCTGCCGTGTAATTTTTAGCTTAAGTGATACAGAGAGTTAAATTTCTGATCTTCATTAAATATCAAAGAAATTCTAGCCAGACCCAGTGTAGACTACCTTTTTATCTAAGTGAGTTTATGCATGTATTGTAGGGGCTGCACTGATGAATATGTTCGAGGCTCTCAGCCTTTAGTGGATACAAAATAGAATGATTGATAAAATCCTCCCCACTATTGGCTATTATTTACTGACTCTTAAGTGGCAGGTTGTATTTATGCCAATTTATCTGCTTCAGGGAACATTCTTGATAGCAGAACAAAGTGAATAAAAGTAGTTTGCTTTGCAAATGAATGCAAATAGGAAAGGCTTTCGGAAAGCCCTTTAACAGGGGCAGTGCACTTTGATTATGAGTGAAGCTGCCATTTGGACATGGTGAAAAGAGCATGCTTGAGCCATTGATTGGGGAAGACAGTAAAAAGTCAGGAAGGGCCCAGTTAGGCTTGCAGTGAGGCAGGCGGATGTCAGTGTGGTTAGAGCACAGTGGGAGAATGACAGGGAGGATTAGTGTCAGGGAGAGGCTTTGCTGGAGCTATGGAGATAGTCCCTGGGGTCACTCACCTCTAACTGTTGTTCTGTGCTGATGGTTCTGTAATGCAAACCGCCTGATGTATGCCTGTTCATTATCGGAAATGGTGATTAGAAAAGGTATTTGTTTCTAAGATTTTTCTCCCACTACCCCCCCCACACTTCTCTTTCTTTTTAATTAAAGGAAAATGAGGTGGGCTTCCTTCATCTCTCATTGTTTAATGCCAGAGTGGCTGCTGCCTCTGCTTATGCTAGAATATAGTTGTCACATTATGTTTTTTTCTTATTCAACAGTGATTTATGTTTCTTTACTCAGTTTTAGGCTTTGACCATTGGTAGTCATTAGTAGTGAAACTCAGGAATATGTTGCTGCTAGAATCTTTGTGCAGTTTCATGATCTTTGTAATCTTTCACTGTTCCAACTGTTAAAAGCTTTACATGGACCGGATGGCTCGCATTTTTGTGTAAGGTTTGACTTGTTCTCAAGTTTTTCAGAATGCTAGCATTTGGCAAATTCAACATTTCTAAAATTGAATGCTGCTATTGTTACATAGAATGAGCAAGAAATATATTCTTGCACCGTTCTGATTCTCGATGCTTTTATCTATTCAGATTTTCATGTATATGTCTAAGAGCTGTTTTGTTTTCTTTTATAGTATTTTTACTGCAAAATTTTGCTAGCCATATTATGTGAATTGTATGAGCAGTACTCCATTTTGTGGCAAGAGTTTCTTAAAGGCTTTGATAATGGTTTTTAACTTTAATGTAAAATTGGTCTTTTAAGTATCTCCAAAACTTGGTTTTGCATTATGCAGTACTTCCATTTTCTTATATGCATATAAAAATCTTACAAAGACTGCTGAGACTCCATTCTGCCAATAAAGATGCTGCCTCAGCCTTTGACTAAACTTAAATACATGTTTAGTACTATTGGTCATTGCAGAAAGGGTTCTGCCAATAATTGTTTCACAGGCTTGTTAATGTTTTAGTACGCATTTCTCCAATTTTTTTCCTTTAATGTCTTACAGGCACCTGAATGGACAGAAGAGGACCTAAACCAACTGACAAGAAGTATGGTTAAGTTCCCAGGAGGGACCCCGGGTCGATGGGAAAAAATTGCCCACGAATTGGGTCGATCTGTGACAGATGTGAGTTCACTGAGATGTGCCTTGTATGGGGAGTGACAAACCAGAATAAGCCAACTATGCAGGGGGCAGACTTAGATGGGTCATGGGTTATCTCTGGAGTGAACTATTAATGAAGTGAGCAAGAAGCAGATGTGTGTCCATCCCCTGCTCCACAGTATAACAGCTGTGTGAAGAGTTGTAGTATTCAGAGACTTAAACTACTGAAACCTAAGCATAGAAAACAACATTAGGTTCTGTGTTTGTTTTGACCCTTTAATCGTGGCAAAAACAGTTTTCAAACTGATCAGAATTAGAGAGGTGATATTTCAGTCTTAACACTGAAATACAGATTGCTGGTGTATTTAGACAGGTGGTTTGGGTTAATGAACTAAGCACTAGTCTTTATGCAGATGGAATGTTTCTGATCATTCATTTTGGCGTATATGTGTGAATGACCAAACCCAACACCTAGAAGACAAAGTACTGAACCGGGGGGACCTTTTGACATAGCAAGTTAGATGTTTTCATTCAGCGAATCTACAATAGAGCACCTAACATGTGCCAGGTCTTCAAGCATCTAATTAGAAGTAAGAAAGGAACTCTCCTGTCTCAGTTATCAAACTGATATTTGTGTAAAGCATAGTAAATACCCTTTACTAAATTTCTTTTAAGGTTAAAAGTTCTCTAGAGTTGCTAAAAACAAAGATTTAAAATTTCCTCTTTAATTCTCTTAGCATGCCTTTACGTCTTTTTTACAATGAGCACAGTAGTAAAACAGAACAACCAAAACAATGAGATTTGTTATAATTGCTATAACTTATTATCCAGAGTAAACTTCTTTTTTTATTTAGAAACAAACATAACAAACATATGTATTTGAAAAGTACTGTCAATTTTTTTTGTATTCCTCTTTTCCTTTTGGTTAGCATTTGCACTGAGAATTTTATGTTAAATATATATATATTTATATATGTGTGTATATATAAGTGTGATCATGGGACAAAAGCTATTATCTAGTAACAGATCATTTCTGTGATTAGCTCTTGGAGAACCATAGGAATTCCTTTTCTTCTAAAAGCTCTGCTGGAATATGGATTTCATCTTCTCATTTTAAGGTATTTTGTAAGGAGTGTTATAACTAACCACATTAAAAACATTCCAAGGTTACTGATATTTTAAGCATTATATCTTTTAAATTGCTAAAATAATTTTTAAGCATTCTAAAAATACTGTTTTAAAGAACCCCATACTTTTAATTTGATTGTATAAAGAAAAACAGTATGCTAATTAGTATCTTCTTAAGAGGCAAAGAATGACAGCGCAGGCCTTTAATCCAGTCCTCTGGAGACAGAGGCAGGTGGATCTCTGTGAGTTCCAGGACAGCCAGGGCTGTTACACAGAGTTATCCTGTCTCAATAAACAAAAGCAAACAAACAAATGTAGTAAAGAATGAAGGCTGAAAACTGCTAGAATTTTCCAGAGTGTCACCAGCAGAGCCTCGCAGCATTAATTCTATGCTTAGTTTACAGGAGTAGTCTTACTGCAGAGGCATTGTTTTTAACTTTTGCAAATTTATATTGTGTGCTTTACTGATTTTTTTTTTCCCGTTTTCTCCTGGGGAGGCTGATTTTATGTCTGCAGTACTTTTTTGTATGAGGTGGTTAACTGTGACTTTTTGAGTATGTGTTTGTACACACTGCATGGTGTATTCTGTTTTCACAAAATCAAAATTACCTTACAAATAGTTAATAGAACTAAACTTCCATCGCCTCCCACAATGCCATTGTAACTTTTCTCCTGTGTCACTACTTAATTTACCACACTGTGTCATCATCTCTACAGCTTCACTGTGCATTTCACTAAGCACAGAGAGAAAGAGACATTATCTTTTTTAAAAAATGTGGGTACAGAAACTTAATAATTATGGAAGTCTGCCCTTTAGCATATGCTTGTCCCCAGCTAGCTCGATTAACTCAAATCAACTTGTTTCTATTCATCTATGTTCTGTCACGTGACTCAATTACCTTTGCTCTGTACTGTATCTCTGACTTCTTCAGTCTCCAGGCATCCCTCACATAATCCATGACTAGATTTCTTCTCTTTCTCTCTCTCCCTAGAAATCCTACCTATCTCTTCTGCATAGCCACTGAAGCTCTTTATTAAGTCAGTCATAACAATACATCTTCTACACAGTGTAAACAAATATTCCATAACATTTTCCGCTTTTTGTCTAAAAAAGAAAAGGTTAATGGTAACACAGGAAAAAACTATACAATAAGAACAATGATTAGGTAAGAATTACATTTACAATTTTCAGTCCATTTGTAGTTGTCAGCTTTAGAGAAAGTACTGTATTATCTATCCTATCTTAGTGAGTCCAAACTTTTATACCGAAAATACTTTTTGTTATAACTTGTATTTTCATCCTAAAAATATCTTTTTAGATAAACAACTTATACTTTTACATTTCTCAACCTTATAAACTTTATATCTCTTATATGAATTTCTTTTTTGAACTTGATAACAAGGAAAACTGTAACTATAACTGTCTAGTCTTCAGTCTTGTCAAAGACCCTGGAAGGATATAATATTACCTGAGTAAACTGGAAGGGCAAACAACTTTCAAAACTATAGAAATGATAGCGATAGCTGGCTACTTAGACTGAGGTTCCTCTACAATGCTGGGGCATCCATCTTTGGCCTACAGGCCTAGAATATCTGACAGACTTCTGTGAAGCAGGAATTTTGAAGGACTGTCCTATCTTATCTTAGCAAAGTTTGGCACTCACCTTCTTTTGTGTCCTACTCATTCAATTTGGACAGCATACTGTGAGCAGTCAAGGCAAGAGTAGTTTCTTTCCCAGTGGCTAACTTTGTCACAATAAAAGCAAACTCCATATGGAGATTCTTCAGTGCCCATCATTCTTTTTTGGAAGTTAATTGGTGCTGCCAGGAGCAGATATGTCTTGCTGTCATGAAAAGCCTTGGGTTATTAAAGCCTCTAAATGCCATATTATATAGATCCCTCAAGTGTTTGAAGACCACCTATCTATCTAAAATATATTTCTGTTTAACCTTGAAAATAAACCTAACATCACTACAAGTTTGATTATTGTAGATGACTAACTACTAACCTGTATTTCTTAGTTATACATTAAATTTTTAAATGAACTATATAGGAACAATACCTTAAACCAGAGTAGAAACATATTTACAGTATAACAAAAATAACCTTAAATTTGTATCAATATACAAAAATTTATACCAATGTAAAGTGTCTGAGATTAATAGTTGCTTTTTAGTTTAAGGAGATCAATGATGTACCCTTTATTCTGTCCTTTCCATATCCCCCTTTTCCCTTTCAGAAAGAGAGCCTTGAATCCCAACTCCCTTGCTTACTTTCTTCCCTCATCATGACCAGCAACAATTTGCAGCCAACCCCCCTAAATGATGACAAAAACCACCAACCCCATCTCTTGGGAACGTGGGTGTCATGTTTTCTAAGCTGCTTCCTGTTGTCTGAAGGCAATGACATCTTTAGGGTACCCTGAGAAAACTGGGGAAAAAAGCAAGTCCTGGGAAAGCTGACTGCAAAATTTGTTGTCAGTCTGGTGGTTGAAAAGTATAGAGGTCATCTGAAGAACTGGACAGAACAGTGAGGCTGGGCCATCTCAGCAGCTTTGAAGTTCTAGATGTGGAGTTTTGGGGAAACTGCAACAGATCTAAGAGGCTAGATTACTTGGGCTATTTGTTTTGTCTTTATTAACATCCGATTCTTTTGTTCTGAAAAAATAACCAACTTTTAAAGGTAACATACATATCTGCATTAACACAAGTATGGAATAGGAGTATGTACAAGGGAGCCAAAGATAATTTGGTCAGCTAGTAGCTAGCTCTGCCCTGTGATTCAAGGTAAACTTTATTGGCACAGCAGAGTGGCGATGTGAGCAATTCTGCAACATGAAGACAACTAACTTTAAAAAAAAAAAATTCGTATTTATTCTTTGACAATTTCATACACAAATAATTTGTGTTGGTCATATTGTGGTATTGAGTTTTGTTTTTTTATATTAATTATTATTTTATATGTATGGGTATTTTGCCCATATATGTCTACGCACATATATGGGTGCCCGATGCCCAAGGAATTTAGAAGAAGACAACAGATCCCTTGGGACTGGAGTTGGAAAAAGATGTGAGTTGCCATATCGGTGCTGGAAATTAAACCCAAGTCCTCTGAAGAGCAGCCAGTGTTCTTAACTGCTGATGTCTCTCCAGCCCCCAGCAAACTTGTTTCAGTAATGCCCGAGTATGACTTGTGAACCAGACTAAAGTAGCCGAAGGTTTCAGCTGGTACAATTCCTTTAGTAAAATGTTAAGTGAAAGTTAATCACACTTTAAAAAGGTCCTTTATACTTCTTTTTGGCTTGCAATGTTAATTAGATTTGTTGTCATTAAGTATTTGATTGTGGAAGAGCGGTCACCATCTCCTCTTACCCTGTCCACTGACCTGATCTGGCGGCAGCCCCAGGTCTGCACAGCTGCTGGTTGACCTGGCTTCCTTCTAAGTGTAGCTTCAGGCTTGCTGCTTTCCTTCCAGAAACAATTGACCTTTTACAGGGAAAGGTGAGAGTGTGGCTGTGCTGGGATCTATATGGCTCTTGATTTAGATTGTTAGATTCTAGTAAACGTCCTATTTTTATTCCTCAGTTTAAAAAAGAATCAGTATATTACTTGTCATAATTAAAGTATTAAATTATGCTGTGGATAAACACAAGGAGTATTTTAGTTTAAAAAATTACATATTTTTTAACTCAGGTAAACTATAAGGCCAATTTATTGGGGCTTAAATATTTTAAATGTTAATTACGTGCTTTTGGTATATAATCTTAGTAACCACAAAGGACACTCAAATTGTGAAAACAACAGTGGAAACAAAAACTGTCTGACATGTAAAACCACCTTTAATGTGATTATTAACTGCAGGCTTCTAAGTTGAGGTCAGGGAGCTTCAGATTTCT